TGCTGTCCGCTAAGGCATAGGACACACACAGGCTTTCCTCCTCACCAACGACATTAAACACTGTGTCTACACCGGACGTGAGCGGCAAAATACAGTAGAACCATTATAATCAGTGACGCTGTCTACACTGGATGCAACGCGACACTAAACTGATGCCTTGTTCTATTTATGACGTACTGACACAAAGTTCAAATGATTTGCAACAGTCTCTTTGCTGCGATCGAAAAATCACGTTTTTTCATATCGCGATATTATCGCAAATGCAATTAATCGTTCAGCCCTATAGTGCTTTCTCCCACCTTCAATAACATGACTGAGGTGCCCTTGAGCAAGGCGCCGAACCCCCAACTGCTCCTCGGGCGCCGCAGCAAAAAATGGCTGCCCACTGCTCCGGGTGTGTGTTCACGGTGTGTGTGTGTGTGTGTGTTCACTGCTGTGTGTGTGCACTTTGGATGGGATAAATGCAGAGCACTAATTCCGAGTATGGATTACCATACTTGGCCACATGTCACGTCACTTTGTAGTTCTTGTTAGCTAGTTGAGCACTAGTTTGCGAATTTTTCACGTCGTCGAAGCTCCGGGACTCGCTCTCTCCTCTGAGAAGATTAGCGTGAGTGTGTTAGTATAAGCCAGAGGTGGGTGATTACTCTTAAGAGGATTGCGTCCATGTAAACTTGTGCGAAAAGTGGCATGTTTCCAGGGCAGACGGAGAATTGTTCTAAACGGGCTCTTTTAAAACAAACACAGAGCAGCAATTCTGCTGATTTTGTGCGTGTTTACAAATTATTAGCGGACAATGAAACAGTCTGTGTCGACTTATTTACAGTTTGAGAAAACATAAACACGATGATTGAATGGAAACAGTCCCCTGTTTGCTTGAGTTTAAACAGAGAATGATGTCGAAAAGTCCTGTTTTATCCTCCCTCAACCCCCCTGGAGCTCCGTTACGTGCGCGTCCCTCAACACTGGATTATAAGGCATATTTTCCTCCTAACTTAAAGATTATCGCAGATGTGCGCTGCGAAGCTTGAGCTATTATTTCCACGCCCTTGTGTGTGACACCAACATCGCCCTGTTTACTCAGATTAGAGGATACAGACAGATGAGCGTGTTCATCTCTCTCATCCTGCATGTAGCTGATATTATCTTTTCATCTCTCTCTCGTCGTGAACCGAAGATCACCCCTGAGTTGTGCCGATATAGGCT